TGCTTACGCACCAAACAGCAGTTCAGAGTATCCGGCCTTCTTGGAGTCGGTGGGAGGGGTCCTGGAAAGGGCGTCACCTACCGACTCCATAGTTCTCCTGGGGGACTTCAATGCTCACGTGGGCAATGACGGAGAAACCTGGCGGGGGGTGATTGGGAGGAACGGCTTGCCCGATCTGAACCCGAATGGTGTCTCGTTATTAGACTTCTGTGCTTGCCACGGTTTGGCCATAACGAACACCATGTTCGAACATAAGGTGGCTCATAAGTGTACCTGGTACCAGAACACCTTAGGCCGGAGATCAATGATCGACTTTGTAATCGTATCATTTGATTTGCGGCCGTATGTCTTGGACACTCGGGTGAAGAGAGGAGCAGAGCTGTCAACTGATCACCACCTGGTGGTGAGTTGGATCAGATGGCAGGGGAACCGGTTGGAAAGACCCGGCAAGCCCAAACGTGTAGTGAGGCTGAACAGGGAATGTCTGGCGGAGGACCCTGTCCGGGAGGTCTTTAACTCCCACCTCCGGAAGAACTTCTCTCACATCCCGAGGGAGGTTGGGGACATGGAATCCGAATGGACCATGTTCAAAGCCTCTATTGTGGACGCAGCCGCTAGGAGCTGTGGCCGGAAGGTCATCGGTGCCTGTCGTGGCGGCAACCCGAGAACCCGGTGGTGGACACCGGAGGTGAGGGAAGCCGTCAAGCTGAAGAAGGAGACCTTCAATGCCTGTTGGCCCAGGGGTCTCCCGAAGCAGCTGACAGGTACCGGCAGGCCAGAAGGGCTGCAGCTGCGGTGGTCGCGAATGCTAAAACTCGGGCATGGGAGGAGTTCGGGGAGCCCATGGAGAAGGACTTTCGGTTGGCCTCAAGGAGGTTCTGGCAAACCATCCGACGGCTCAGGAAGGGAAAGCAGGGCTTACCCCAGGCTGTTCTCAGCAGGGGGGGAACTGCTGAACCGGACAGGGGACAGCGTCGGGCGGTGGAAAGAGCGCTTTGAGGAACTCCTAAACCCGACCAACATGTCCTCTGCAGAGGAGGCAGCGCCTGAAGATCTAGGGGGAGGCTCACCCATATCCCTGGCAGAGGTCGCTGAGGTAGTCAAAAAGCTCCTTGGTGGCAAGGCGCCGGGGGTGGATGAGATCCGCCCTGAGATGCTGAAAGCGCTGGACATAGTTGGGCTGTCCTGGCTGACACGCCTCTTCAATGTCGCATGGGGGTCGGGATCAGTGCCCATGGACTGGCAGACCGGGGTGGTGGTTCCCATTTTCAAAAAGGGGGACCGGAGAGTGTGCTCGAATTACCAGGGTATCACACTACTCAGCCTCCCGGGGAAGGCTTATGCCAGGGTGCTGGAAAGGAGGCTCCGACCGTTTGTCGAACCTCAGATACAAGAGGAGCAATGCGGATTCCGTCCCGGCCGTGGAACAGTGGACCAGCTCTTTACCCTCGCAAGACTACTGGAGGGGTTCTGGGAGTTTGCCCAACCAGTCTACATGTGCTTTGTGGACTTAGAGAAGACTTTCGACCGGGTCCCTCGGGGGTTCTTGTGAGGGGTGCTGCGGGAGTATAGGGTGCCGGACCCATTACAACGGGCGATCCGGTATCTGTACGACTGCAGTAGGAGCTGTGTCCGCATTCTCGGCAATAAGGCAGACACGTTCCCGGTGGGTGTTGGCCTCCGTCAGGGCTGCCCTTTGTCTCCGGTCCTGTTCGTGACTTTCATGGACAGGATATCTAGGCGCAGCCTGGGGGTGGAGAACGTCAGGTTCGGGGGTCTCGGGATCGCCTCTCTGCTGTTTGCAGATGATGTGGTCCTGTTAGCCTCCTCGGATCGTGACCTCCAGCATTCACTGGGGCGGTTTGCAGCCGAGTGTGAAGCGGTGGGGATGAGAGTTAGCACCTTCAAATCTGAGGCCATGGTGCTCTGCCGGAAACCGGTGGATTGCTCCCTCCAGGTGGGGACGGAGTGCCAACCTCAAGCGAAGGAGTTCAAGTATCTCGGGGTCTTGTTCACGAGTGAGGGTAAGATGGAGCGGGAGATCGACAGACGGATCGGTGCGGCTGCAGCAGTAAAGCAGGCGCTGCACCGGACCGTCTTGGTGAAGAGGGAGCTGAGCCGGAAGGCAAAGCTCTCAATTTACCACTCGGTCTACGTTCCTACCCTCACCTATGGTCACGAACTCTGGGTCGTGACCGAAAGGACAAGGTCGCGGTTACAAGCAGCCGAAATGAGCTTCCTCCGTAGGGTGGCCGGGCTCAGCCTTAGAGATAGGGTAAGGAGCTCGGTCATCAGGAGGGAGCTTGGAGTCGAGCCGCTACTCCTTCGCGTCGAAAGGAGTCAGCTGAGGTGGTTCGGGCATCTAATTAGGATGCCTCCTGGACGCCTCCCACTGGAGGTTTTCCAGGCACGTCCAACTGGGAAGAGACCCCGGGGAAGACCCAGAACACGCTGGAGGGATTACATCTCCCAGCTGGCCTGGGAACGCCTCGGGATCCCCCAGAATGAGCTGGAACATGTTGCCGGTGAGAGGGAAGTCTGGGTCAGCCTGCTTGGCCTGTTGCCTGTTGCCAGCAAAATGGATGGATGGATGGATAGTTATTTAATCCACTTTTAGATTTTTAACAATTGGTTACCACACTGAAGTACAAAATTCCCGAATTGTTTGTGATGTAAGTTTGTAGTCAGGACATAATGCTGCAATCCATTGCAAGTTGGAGGTCAATAATTGCCGATACGATACAATCTAAATGCATCTCCTCTATAAAACATGGACGGACCTAAATCAATTTGCACCAGCAACATAACAAAGAGAAACAGTGTATAAAGTAACCATCCTTAAATTAACAACTAGAGAATCCTGTGAGGAAATACTTCTAAATCTAGTATGATATTTCAAGGATCAGGGGGAATCCTGTCAAGGGACGGGAGGAGTAAACTAATACTGCATGCTCGCAAAGCAACAGAATCAAAATAGAAATGCAAATTACAAAGTTTATACAGCGCAACTTTCACAATACAAACACTCCATAAAGTAAAGTAAAAAGTTTTAAAAAGGTAAATGACATAGTCTGTAAATAAGAAGTGGTCGTAGTCGTCATGACATCACCTGTTGGTTGCAACCAGTGAATGAAAGTGACGTAGAGATGCCGTATACGTCTCTGGTAGAGATCTGTCAATCACTGTGTAGCCCCGCCCCTAAAGCATCCCCTGCTTTATGGTCTGTTTGACTCTAAATAAACCATAATTTACTAAATGAACATCATGCTGTATTGAAGAAGACTTGAAACTAGAGATTGAGACCATAAACTCATGTTTACAATGTTTACTGAGGTAATAAATCAAGAGAGAAGTAGAGTCATTTTCTCATAGACTTCTATACAACCAGAGGAGTCGCCCCCTGGTGGACACTAGAGAGAATGCAGCTTAAACACATGAAGCTTTGTACTTCACTTTTCAGAACATGTTATTATTGTGGGATATTTTCTTCTATATCTAATTGAAAAACAGCCATCACACCAAGGACACCTTCAAACCACTCACCAAATCCATTTAAATCAAATGAAAAACGTTTGTGCCCGATTCAAGAACTGTGTGACCGGGTTAATAAGACAAAGCTTCAAGCCCCTCGATGCTTCCTGTCTGAAAACCTCCGTCACCGACACCTTTCAATTACCCCGGCTGGCTCCTCTCTGTTTGCTTTCACTCCGTTCATTTAAGTGGGAACCCTTATGGCCGTCCCTGCCTCACACATTACGTTTGTGCTATCGCCATAAACGTGTTCACCTCCGTCCATTTCATTACTTTTATGGTTGGGACTGAATATAAAACTATGCAGTAAAAGCGTTCAGAATCATGACTGTAATTGGGATCATTTCGCGAACACAAAAATGTCAGAGATGAGTTGTTTTCATATATAAGTAAACGGTAGTGAAATACTGCATCTGTCATATTGTGGCGAAAATGCACAATGATTTCAGACGTTTATGGTGCTGTTTTTCAGAACGAGGCGACATGTTATCAACTCTCATCAGTCCCATAAGACACTGGGATACTGGAGCATCATCAGCTGAGGAAGCAGACAATTCAAGTAAATATTTTTCCTCCTTGTACTTAAAAAATGTTGTTTTTTTACTGCCAATAAAACTGAAGTTTTCATGTCCAGCTACCACAGACTTATTATACCACAGGGGCCAAGTAACCAACACACACCCTGGATTATGTTGAAATGATCATTGTTTATTATATTTACTACATTTCATCTTTTCAAGTTTACTCTATGAAACTTACTCCAAGTGGTAATCAATTTATTTGGCTGGTTAACAAAACGCCCACATCCTGTTGCAAATACTGACATTACAGTCTGGAGAGCGGGCGACAGGAGATGGACCCAAATGTAGAAACAACTCAGTATCATGGCAGTTAATAGTCCCGAAATGCGGTCAATTTGTTTCCCGTATAGGGACATGAATCGTCTGTTTTTTGTTTTGTTTTTAAACTACAGTTAGGTTTGGTATCAAACCCCCGTAGTTAGTTTTAGGAAAACTGTCACGGACGTTAGGTTTAGCCAACGAATCCGCAAACGTAAAACCTCAACGCTCCTGATCGAAAGTCTTACATTTGTTAGACCCGTCCACCTCACCTCCCACCCACTAGTAGAGGTCTTTTTGGACATGTAAAACTACATCACTTGCTCTGACTGTTGCGTTGTCAAGCGTATCCTTTTAATTTGTGTGTCCACCATGAGTACAAATCATAATTGTCTTTCCATTGGCATTATTTTTGTCTGAGCGAATGAGAAAGTACACAAAACCAATGGATTGCATTGGATTGCAAAGAGGCAGCAGAAACTATGCCATTTAATCAAGAAGCTGACGAGCTTTAGTCCAACAAAACTGAAGGCATGGACATGGGCAAACTGGACCAGAAGGCAAAACAGAAATGAAGACAAACCGACAGAGAACAAAGGAACTGGGCCGGTAGATGTAAGTAGCTGGACAATGGGGAAGTGGGAGCAGGTGAGCAGAAGGTCTGGTGGCTTCAGGGCTCATGAGACAGGTAATCAGGGCGGGGAAGACAATTACACAAAGGGCAAGGAAGTAAAACCAGACAGGACACAAAAGGAGAATAAACTTGAGCAAAACTGTAACAGACATACCATTATAGCTAGCAATGCTAGATGGTAAGGTGGGTCTGTCAGATCGTTGGTCCACCACTTTGGTCCAGACTGAAATACCTCAACAGCAATAAATGGATTGCCATGAAGTTCTGTGCAAACATTCACGATTTCCACATGATGATTCCCAATTACTTTGGTGATCTGCTGACTTTTCCTCTAGCTCCACCATGAAGTTTGTTCAGTCCATTATGTTCTCCTCGGGATACATTGTAATAACTTAAATGATCCCCTGACTTTTTATCTAGCACCAAGTGTGTTTTCCTGCATTCAAGTAACCAGGTTCAACCCGTTCTCACGCCCAAAGCGTCAAATGACGTCGACTCTTAGTCTCGTTACGTAGATTCAATTCAATTCAATTCAATTTATTTTTGTAAAGCCCAAAATCACAAATTACAAATTTGCCTCAGAGGGCTTTACAATATGTACACATTTGACATCCTCTTGTCCCGGGACCCTCACATCGGAACAGGAAAAACTCCCCCAAAAAACCCCTTTAACGGGGAGAAAAGAGGAAGAAACCTAAGGGAATGATGTGGGCCCACTGACACAAAATGCGATTTTGTTTTTTCCTTCATGTCACGTTTCCCTTCTTGATTTCGATCTGCCAACAGGTACAAGCAGTTTGGAGGTGAAAGAGAACCGGGATGATATAAGCCAGGTGGACTGTGACCTGCTACGAAAGTATCATCCATCGGCATTTTGCACGACTTTCCCCAAACACGGGCCAAGAGCACCGAAGAGGAAGCGGCCGCTGGCGGATGGAAAAGACCGGCTGCTCTACCAAAGCCACTCGACCTGTAAAAGAGCAGCCTGGACGGTCACTCGGAAGAACGCGCTGGTGCAGCTGAACGAGTTGCGGCCCGGTCTGCGGTATGAGATCCTGTCAAAGACGGGCCCTCTGCATGCTCCGGTGTTCTCTGTAGGCGTCGAGGTAAACGGCTTCCACTTCGAGGGCCGAGGACCAACGAAAAAACAGGCCAAGATGAGGGCTGCAGAACTGGCCCTCCGGTCGTTCATCCAGTTCCCAAACGCCTCCCAGGCTCACGCCACCATGGGGAGCTTCGCCAGCACTCCTGCAGATTTTACAGCGGACCAACTGGACATCCCCGACGCCTTCCTCACAGAGTTTGAGCTGCGTGAGAGCTGCGATCTGCTGCACTGCAACACACCGAAGAAAGAGTTGTTTTCCAGCGTGTACAACCACAGGCGGCTTGTCCGACTCACACTGGACTTCTCCTCGAGTCATCCAAAAAGACGAGCCCTCAGCACCTCACTTTTAGAGCAACTCAGCCCGGTGGCGCTGCTCAACGAGCTGCGACCGGGACTCAGGTACATGTGCCTGACGGAGAGGGTTCACGGCAGGCCAGTGAGGAGTTTCGTTATGGTGGTCCGGGTGGAGGGGAGGGTGTTTGAAGGGTGCGGTCACAGTAAAAGGTTGGCCAAGGCCCAGGCAGCCGCGGCCGCCCTGCAGTCTCTTTACAACGTAAGTCTGGGACCAGCAAGGAAAGTCTCGGGTCTCCAGCATCAGCTACCTCAGGTGAGTAACTCTGCTTTTGCCACCACACAGTATTTAGATTTAAAGATGTTTTTATATATATAGACAAACTTATTGCTCCTCTTTCTTTCTCCTTTTTTTTGTTTTTGTTTTGGAATTTCTATTATGGATTCTCTTGTGTCATGAATTGTACATTTGGAAGTAGCTAAGCTGCATATATGAAAATGGTATAGAAAAAAAAAATCGAAATAAATAAAGTATAACAGGGGAGAAGATTGTTCGGGGCTTCAAAACAAGAAACTCTGTGACGTCCATGTTCCATGTTGCTTCTTGTATAATTCATAATGGAACAGCCTCCATAACAGAGTGACTTTTAACAGGATATGTGGTGAAGACAAACGTTTAGACAACAAAATAAACAGTTCTACAGAAGTATTTGAAGACAAATCTCTGGTTAGCATTTAATATAGAGAGAGGAGACAGACTTGGTACATCAGGGAATGCCCTTCAGCTGTTAAAGACAGATTTCCCTCACTTGGAAACATCAGTGGTGACACTGAATTCACCCTTCATCTCTTGAATTCTTGAGCCAGTCTTCTAAATGGTCTGAATAAATGGGTCTGAAGTGCGCCATGTGCTACCAAATGGAGTGTGCCCGCACATCAGCGTGGCCATCGTGTCCTAAAGGCCTGAGAGCTGGATGGCGTCCTGTATGCATCGTCTGTGGCATCTAAACAACTTCATTATGTCTCGGAAAATTGTCCTTTTGCTGTCGTGCTTTATGAATACAAGAGGATCCGTCTCCCGGAATCGGCTGCACGGAGACGAAGAGGGTGACTGAGCGTGGCTAATGCAGAACCACGCCGCTATCCAAATATGCAAAGGAGTATACGGAGACAGACATGTAGATACTTTATTAAACCCTGAAGGGATTCCATAAGAGAGAGGAGAGTGCAAGAGGCAACAGTTTGGATGGAGGAAAAAAAACATTTCGATGCTCTGAATTTGAACAAAAGGGTGATTTTGCCGCGCATTTCGGCTGACACACCAAAACTCCTTCAATATGAACCGCCTGGCGTGACGCATTAATGAACATTATTACAGCACATTAGGGATGAAGGAGGAGCGGCAGCAGACCAAGGAGATGGAGGTGGAGCGGGAAGGCGGTGTGAAGAGCATAATAATCTGACAGATAATTGTTTAACACACTCATTACACACGACCTTGTGCCACTGTCATCCAGAAAAACATCGAGCCAGAGCTTCATTCCCAAAAAAACGCCTGCTCCTACAAGATCGGTTAAGACACTTAAGATGTATTTATTAAGAATAGTTAGTAATATAGTTTATGGCTGTTAATGACATGAAGAGTTTAAATTCTACATGTCTATTATTAAACAAAACACACATTTTGTTGTTTGATGAAATGAACACTGTTCCTCGAGGATGGGTGAGCATTAAGGAAGATAACCTGCAAACACAACCCGACACCCGAGTGTCTTACACGTGTTATATACACTGAGTCTCGATGAGGAACAGGTGGAGCTTGACTAGAGAACGAGCAACAGGTGTGCGTGGAGGTGAAAGAAAAAGAAAGAGGACAAGCTTGATGTGCACCCTTCACTCCTCAAACACTGAATAACATTTCTTCTTCTGCAGTTCTTCGCAGAGTCGATCTTCCGCCTGGTTGGAGAGAAATACTCAGAGCTGACAGACGGCTGCTCCTCTACCTCCTCGTACGCCCGTCACAAAGTCCTGGCAGCGGTCGTAATGACCAGAGGTGAGTGGTGGAGACACAAAGGTCAGAATGAGACATGAGAGGACGAGGTAGGACACTGAGAGAGACAATACAAAATGCACCGCCACAATTCAACCAAACGAGTTATGTCAAATGACCCTGAGGACCCAGAGGGGAGACAGTCGTCCTCTTCACCGTCCCGTGAATCTTTGATGAAGCCAGACTGCAACATAACATCGTGTTCTTTGAGGCGTTGGAGGGATCATTCATTCATACACTTTTCATTGGCTCGTCTTGTGACTCTGGTCGGGACAAGACAGGAAATGTCTTGTTCTGGGAGTCTCGTTTGAATCATGCTGCACGTCTCGTTGCATCGTAGAGTCAAATCATTTTGCTGAACAAGTCTCCAGAAATCTGAGCCTTGCAGATTTTTAACCCACATTCTCCGTTTTCTTCTCCAGGATTTGACCTGAGGTCGGCGCAGGTTGTGTCTCTGGCCACGGGGACTAAGTGTCTGGACTCGGACAACGTCGGCGACCGCGGCGGTACGCTCAGCGACTGCCACGCCGAAGTCCTCAGCCGGAGGGCGCTGGTTCGATTCCTGTATGGCCAGCTGGAGCTGCTGCTCTGGTACCCTGGTGCTCTGTATTGTCTAGTCTTGGTTGGGAATTTGACTTCAATGTTGTTGTTTTTAAGAGCTCCAATTTCAAGTACAAGGCACGTGTAAGTCAGTTTTTCTCTTATTGTCTACAAATCCCAAATTTCTAACTTCCCTACCTTGTCTGTGGCTCTCAGCTGCAAACACATTTGTTAATCTGTAAAAATACCTCACAAATATATTAAGGCAGCAAAACAAAAACCTAAAGATTTAACAACTTTAAGATATAAGTGTTTGCATTCATGCGTGATGGGATGAGATTGTCGTCAGGTATTTCAACTATTCATAATTTAAAAATCAGATGACAGTTACTTGTAATGTTTTGAGTTTTTTACAATTAAACTCTAATTGTAGGGAATGTGTTTTCGTTTTAGGGTACTAATACCTCAAATTAACCACAGTGAACTTTGTGTGCAAGGATTGGAAAGCTTGTCAATAATTACAAACTGACAAGTGATAACTAATTAACAATTAAGAAGATGCAGTTTCACCACAGGGATCATTAAAGTTTCATCTACCTTGCAGTCAGTCTTTTGTCAGAAGTTGGTCTTGTTTCTTTCGTCTCCGTCTCATGTTGGACTTCTCGTTTGTCTTTCCTCTCTGAAGTGAGCCAGCAGACTGTGAGGAACAATCCATCTTCGTACCAAATAAAGACGGCGGCGGCGGCAGCTTCCGGCTGCGGGACGGCGTCCTCTTCCACATGTACGTCAGCTCGTCGCCGTGTGGAGACGCTCGACTCAACTGCCCCTACGAGACCACAGCTGCATGTGAGACCAACACGTCTAGATGATGATAAGATGATACTAAACTCATGTCGTTTTGTCGACGAAATCTAACATTTCTGCCTCTTTATCTGATCTAGATGCACATTTGCACCTTCGTCTTTTTGTATTATTATCAGTTTGTACTTTTCTGTCGACACATACTTTGATACCTTTAGTAAAGTATTTGTTCTGCAGACATTTGTATTCTGCACAAACCCACTGACCACCGACAGTTTCATTAACTTTTAAAGGACAAATCCACCAGAAAACAGTTAAGCTCTGTGGAAACATTGATTAATAAACACCAGATACTTAAGCAGCTTAGTCTACGTTTTCTCTTCTTGCAGATGACTGAATAAAATGTCATCTACGTCGACATATTTTCAGCCGCTGCATGTGAATCAAAAGAGTTAACAGATCTGAGAGTGAGAGCTTTTCTCCAAAGCTGACAGTTTGCAATGAAACACAACAGCTGGACGGAGAAATCATAGGAAATAGTAGGCACGTCTAAATAAACTTTGTAAAGTCTTAAGTTCATGTGGGCTGGGTTATTGTGAATTTTGACCTGATGGTGGCGCTAGACGAAGAGTCGGATGATCACCAAATTTATCACAATTAATCGTGGGAGGGCCATAAATGACTGTACTAAATTTCATTCCAATACATGCAATAGTTGTGAAAATGTTTCACTCAACAACAGCAAAAGTGAAAGTTGTGGTTATGGCGCTGGCAGCAAAAGTCAGAGGAGTCATCCTCTGGGGAACATGAATGTACGCCATGAATTTCATGGTAAGCCATCCGTTAATTATTGACATATTTCAGTCTGGATCAAAGTGTCGGACCAACGGACAGACCAACGTCATTATCCCTAGAAAAAAACAAAATTAGTCACCTTCTTTTTCTTCGTTTCTTGTCGTGTCAGATCCCAGCAGGAGGTTTCACTGTCACCTCAGGGTGAAGGTGGACGGAGGCGAGGGGACGCTGCCCATCACAGCGGGAAGAGCCAATCAGAACCTGGGCGGCGTGTCGCTGGGCAAACCTCTCGTCACCATGTCCTGCACTGACAAGATGGCAAAGTGAGTTTAAAATCAGCCCTGGAAGGTGTGTTCTGATATTTAATGAAATATAATGGGTTTAGTTTTGTTGGCATGTATGTACCCGTTGGTTTGTGGAATAATTTCGCCGTCGCGATCTTGGATTACGGTCGTCACTATGTTGTTTATTTTGCAACCCGCAAACGGAAGTGACCATATCTGGACTGAGGAGGAGTGACGTAGAGACCTGTCAATCACCGTGTAGCCTCGCCCTAAAGCATCCCCTGCTTTATGGTCTGTTTGACTCTAAATGGACCATAATGTACTAAATGAACATCATGCTGTATTGAAGAAGACTTGAAACTAGAGATTGAGACCATAAACTCATGTTTACAATGTTTACTGAGGTAATAAATCAAGAGAGAATTAGAGTCATTTTCTCATAGACTTCCATGCAACCAGAGGAGTCTTCCCTTACTGGACTATGTTGTCAATGTTTAAAATTGTTTGTCTCGACAGGTGGAGCATTGTGGGCCTCCAGGGGGCTCTCCTGTCTCACCTGGTGGAGCCGGTTTACCTGCACAGCCTGACGGTGGGGACGCTCAGCCACACGGGTCACCTGAGCCGGGCCGTGGGACGCCGCCTCGCGCCCGTCAAGCGCCTCCCCTTCCCGTACCAACGACAGCAGCTGCTGCTCGGCTGTAGGTCAAAATGTTATACACACCCGAAGTATTAAATCTTCCTCGGTAATTGAGTTCAAGACAGTTTATTCGCCTCAGACTCTGGAAGGTCTGATGGACAGAAAGCTTCTAGTTCATTGGAGATGATCTAAAGAAGAATGAACAGTGATAGCAGAAACTCAAACCACAATAAACTAAAATTACAACTTTATGGTGGATATAAATACGTACACTTAGTTATGTGCTGTATTTCACTATAGTTTTACAGTTAATGCTACTTTAAACTTGTACTCGGCTGCGTTTCAAAAGAGAAATATTGTTGTTTTTACTCCACAATTAATCTAACTATATTTAGATATGAGACAAAAAGGATTATTTATTATATATTGTATTGTTATACTAACAAAACAGTACATACAGCTTCAACACTAACATGTTGTTTACATGTCAACGCATCTGTAATAACAAGCCAATAATATAGATAATACATAAGGCCATGGTGTTTGGGTACTTTAAATACATTTTGTAACAGTTTCTGATCTTTTCGATGAAAAGTTAAGTTAATTCTAAGGGGAACACGAATATGTGGACCAAATTTCATTGAAATCCATCCAATAGTTTTTGAAACATTTAACAAAAACTATTTTCGACACACCCTTGGTATTAGTGAGGACACACTCATTCTCACCTCTCACCCTGTGGGGTTTTGTCTCAGGTCTGAGCAGCAGCGAGGTTCGGCCGGCGGGCAAAGCACCGAACGTCAGCGTGAACTGGACCCGGGGTGACGGAGGCCTGGAGGAGATCAACACCTCCACAGGAAGGAGGAAGGACTCGGGGATGCCGTCGCGGCTCTGCAGGCTCTCCATGTTCGCCCGCTGGCAAAGGCTGCAGCAGCAGGTGGGTCAGAGACACTTAAAGAGACCAGAGACACTGAACCTCGTCAGGAGACGCAAGCAAGCAACTCTTGCTTGTTTTTAACATTTCATTCTTGTCTCTGTGTCCAAATTTGATATTTTTATATTTAATTTCATACTTTTAAAAGGTTTATTTTTCTAGTTTGCAATCTTTAAGTTGATTATTGAAGCATTAGCATTGGAGGCTGACTAATTCACAATGTGAATCACTTAGAAAAAAGATAAAAACACAGCTTTAAAAGACAACAAATAAGTAGAGACGCTGGTTTAGGTATAAAAATTACACAGAAGCAAAAAGACCAAACCGTCCTCGAGCTCTAATGATGTTTTTAAAAGCAGGATTTTATTTCCACTGTGACATTAACATATGTATGCAGAGAGCGTTGCTGCTGAACCAAAACGGCCTCCATTTAAATATTTGATGACGGCAGACAAGAGTCGTAATTATTTACAAAAGCAACTGGCAACAAGGACTGAATGAGGAGCTGAGAAACAATGAGTGAGACAATGATACAGTATTTTAATGACTTGAGAAATAGACTGTGGCACTCTGAGATTTTTTTAATGAAAAGTGCGTTATAAATAAAATGCATTATTATTATTGTTATTAATAATGAAGCAAATCTGAAAGGACTACAAATTAAAGACAGAGAAAAAAGGAACCCAAATCTCCTCAATGTGAAAAACATGGATATGCCGTAGCATACTATGTCTAAAGAGACATTTTTAACATTTACTTTGCATTTAAATATTCATATAATTGGTTATAATTGATGTTATTATACACACCTGTGTTGACCCTGCAATGACTGCTGTGAAAGGGGCCTTTTGGACTACGATTGGCTTCCAAACTAGTTGTAATGTCACCAAATCATCTCATACATATTATGTCTGAAACTTAGATTTAAAGTAAACACAGATGAATGTGAAAACAGCCTCCTAGACATCCAAGTGAAGTAACAAGAAGCAAGAAAATAAATAAAGTAATATTTTATTCTAAGCAGAGTAGAGGAGGTGGACTTAAAGTTTTAGCCATGTGGGCTTCATCATAAGTGTCAGCAAAGTGTGGAGAGGCTTTTTCATTTGTCAAACTCTCGTGTGACCAATAACATCATTTACCATTTAGATGTGTCAACTCCAGGTCACTGCAGCTGAATCACCAGCATGGTTTATAGGGACATCTAATGTAATTAGTTACACCTTTGCTTTTCCCGCATTGACAAGTCAAAATGTCTGCCGTGTAAAATATCCATTTTCACGAAACAGGTGTAATTTTGAGGACAACACATGATTGACAGATGTTATTTTTAGCCATGGCCAAGTGTCATTGGTCATTTCCAATCGTAATACTGCAAAATACTCACAAATCTGTGGGTTTTATTTGTGTATTTTGGTTATGTTATGACAGTGAATCATGTTTCATGTCTTATTTTCTCAGTTGAACGGGGAAGAAACCACTCTAAGGACATATTCTGGTTCCAAGATGGCTGCTGAACGGTACCAAAGGGCGATGCTGCAGTTCACCAGCGCTCTGCAGGGCGGAGGGCTGGGGACTTGGCTCAGAAAACCTCCAGAATAAGGTCACTTCAACGTCAGTGTAAGAAAAAAGTGTTTGTTAAAAGGCAGAGTATGAAGACTTTAGAGTTGAAGTTCATGTGTGTTTTTTGTTTGCGAGTGCGTGTACCAGGTACAAAAAATGTGTAATTTCACCCTTCATTTATCTTATTTGAGTTTCTTCATTATGCAAATGAGTTCAAAGCATTCAGAAAAGAAAATCAACTTTAGGCAAAAGCTAGAGTAGACTTAAGTTGCCTAAAAGCTGCTAACTTCAGCTCTAGAAGAAGGTAACGCTAGCTCGTCTGGCCACCTTAAATCTTAACAACCATGATGCTCAAACCACTTAGTAACATTTAAGACATTTCATGTAAGTTTAACAAAGCAATATACAGTGTTTGAGTAATATTCAACAAATATAATAATACTTATCTGATATCGGGAACTCATTTAGCTACGATATCTCCCTTCTGGTGAAAACAAAATGGCTGCAAAAAACAATCGGCTAATTAAACATTATCTTTTTTTTGTTTGTTGACCCAAAGATAATCCATTTGGACCCATTCATCCAATCGTATCTTGGTTTTATAATTTGTATTAATAAACTGACCTTTGTAGACGTGAGGACAGGCCAAAATGTCCTCACTTTCCAACAGTGTCCTCACTTATGGGTCTAAAGCCTGTGGTCCTCACAAACACTTTAATACAGAATGACACACACACACACACACACCTTGTTTTTGTCACTTAGGACACTACATTGACTTGTATCAGTGCATTGGTGACTTACCTTAACCACTACATGAATAACTCAAACCCATACTCTCTGGTTTCTTTTACTACTGAACTAAAAGTAACGTTTAAATTTAATTTATAGTTATTTGTGTTTTGTTTTAGAAAGTGTGTTCTGTTGTTTAAGTAATGTATATTTGATGCAACTGCATGTCTCACCTGTTCAATTATGTTTTAGTTACTCTTCATGCTTTTTGAACAGTGTTGTAAAGTGACAGAGCGTGTGAGACTCAGGAGTGAAGACACGCCGCCACCTAGAGGCCGATTGTGTGCGTTACAAGATGTGGAGTCCAGGTTTTACTGAAGAGAGAAATGTTATAATTCAAATTTGTTCAGCGTTTTCCTTCATTTGTCCTTTAGATTTATTCTTTTATCTCTTTAAAGTATTTATTGATTTATTAATAATATCCCAAAGGCTTTTAACGTTATTCTTGTGTAGTGACTGTCTCTTTGTTAATTTAAAGTTGGAATGTAAAAAAAAGAAAATACTTTTACTGAACGCCACTGGTGTTGAATGCTATATAAACTTTTATATTAGGTATGCAGAATGGATGTAGTCTATATTGTTCATGACTATTTTATATCACTGGGAATAAATTATCTTATTTGTGTTAGTTCTTGTATTTGTATCACATTAAATGTGAAAGTTTTCACTTCCAGAAGCGCTTCACACCGTCCATATGGATACTTTATATCATTCATAAGATGAGGTACTCTCAGGATTTTTGTGTTGATGTAATAGTTTAATTTATTAGGACATGACAGCAACTCCAGTTTTAGACTATAAGTGGAGGTTAGTGGATGTTTGCTTATGTCCACAATAAACAAAAATAAGGCAGATTTAATGGGGACCAATGTCTGTGTTTAAAAGAAATGAGCCAACTTACAAAAGTTCAAAATGTGTAAAATCCTTGTTGCGCCAGTTAAATTTCTCAAAAGTGCAGAAATGGTCCGGCACAAAAAAAGTGTGATCTAAAGTTCTCATTTGTCAAATAATCAAAACCTGTTTGCTAGGCTGTCTGCACATTAAGTAACTTAGAACCAAATAGATTGAAACATCAAACGACCAAATACATAGCCACCACTTCACTGTATCACTTCAAGTTCTTTTGACCAACATATTTTAATTTGGATTCACGCAAACCGACTACTCCTACATCCAGCAGACAGAGTAAAGTTATAAAGTAAAATTATTAAAAATGTATTATTGTGTCCACCTGATGAACCAGTTTCATTAGAACGTCTTTCAGCTCTGAAAGGTTCATGAGAAAGCCCGTCTTCTCTGTTCAAATTAAGATTATAGAATCCGAGTCAGTTTTCACATTTTCTGAAGCGTCTTTTAAAAATCATTAAAATTAAAGATGCCGCTTTAATGGGATATTAAAACTTAAACCTGTATGATGCAACTTTGGGGGGCAGTGTAATAAACAAGTTGTGAACACCGACATATCTTTGATATGATGAACTTGTTAGCAAACAGTTGCTTATTTACACATCTAGCAGTTACGAAGCAACATGATCATTCATAAGGAGTCTTTGTGTGATTGTATTCCCTCTTCTTGCTCTGATTTTGGTCTCAACCAGCTCCTGAGGGAAATATCCGTCTCTTTAGCTGCTTAATATTCCACTTCTTCACCCGCTACTTGCCAAGTGTGTCTGCTCTTTGGTTCTGAGCAGTTAGTGTACAGTCGACTGAATCTGAATCATTTGCAAGGACAAAAAACAAACAACCCCCCCCCCCCAAAAAAAACAACAACTCGTAAACGTTCAAACAGCACAAACGGTTTATTTTGATTTCACAAGCAGATGCTTGTTCTTTATTACACAGCTTTTAACCCACAAAACTGCTGTCAAGTCAATCCAACAGGTTTTTCGTTCTTCTTCTGAGAACTGAGCTGTGATGTTTTGTTGTTCGACATCGAACCACGTTGATCACTAAAACACTGTAAACAGCAAGGAGCCACAGTTTAACAAGGCTTCACGACGGTGGATCTGAGATGGCCGATGCTCAGTGACGATGCGTTTCGTTGTGAGAGTGAAAGCGTGAACTTTATTAACAGTGTTATGAACGTGGCAGCAGAGTGGCTCAGTGGTGGTAGAAAACACAGTGAAACTTGTTTAAACCGTGTCGGATAAACCAGAGATCCAACACTCACACAAACAGCTTTTACATTTCCTTCACACAAACTAAATGTTGTGTCGGTTAAACCAGAGACGGCAGGGAAACACAAAATCAACTGTCTCTTCTCCCATTTCGGATACATTTTGTTTTTTAATATTTGCTCATTGCAGCTGGAGAGAATACAGAGGAAATAAATCCGCAGATCGTTGATGAACTCTTGAGCAAAAGGGTATTCCTACAGCGAGGAATATAATATAGAAATACACACCTAAAAACTAATATAAATAAACTACTCACAAATAAACATATTGCACAAAACCTAAAAATTGGTTTAAGGAAAGTGTAGTCTTCAGCTGACATTTGTGACATTTCTAAAGCTAATTTTTAATTAGCCAGATGCAAAATGTTGGACTTCATTTGCCATCTCTGGTCTAAGTTTCAAAAATAACTCAGTTTAAAGTGAATGTGAAGTCTTTGACAGATGAACCAACGTCATCCATCATGAAGCAGTAAAATGGATCAAGCTGTACCGATACCAGCATCAGAAATGTCTCGGCGAGTACGCCGCTCTAAGCACCGATCCGATATCACGTCATATCTGTTTTTAACGCACTGGTATCGGATCGGTTCTCGGTATCAGCCGAAATGCAAATTCAGGAATCTGAAAGGGAGAAATGGTATCGGAACATCTGCAATTAACACAAAATAAAACAAATGAAATGTGAGATCACGTCAACTTATAAAGGCTAAGAAAAAAAACTGCTGCAGCTGAAATACACTATACAGACAAAACCGCCTCATTTCTCTCTATATATTACAATTTATATGATACATATGTTATGGTTTTAAAGTGAGAGGTTCACACTTTACTTTTGTCAAGTTATCACTTAGTTTGTTCTGGAAATCTTCCATCTTTTGATCTTAAATGTAACAATGCCGTTTTTTTCACAACATTTATAATAAATAAATATGGTCAATCTGAGAGTTTTTATTGTACTCAAACACATTTCACTGGGTTAAAACACTGCAAAAAGCAGCCGTAAAGTGAAACCAAATACACACACGTGTTCGTCACGTCAATGCAGATGTTTGAATGAACGCTTTGATTACAAACCAGCGAAACGCTCCACAAAGCTAAAGCTAGATGTAGAAATGGACTGTGCTTGTTCATCGTGTTGATGTCGCAACTCACGAGTACATCAGAGTACATCAGAGTACATCAGAGTACATCAGAGTACATGAGTTGTACAGCAGTCAGAACTTGAACTGCCCTGTTATCACAACATTAAATACGTTTTTAGACGTTGATTTTTATCACCACACCTACTTCTTCTCAAACTCAAACTCAAACACACACACACACACACACACACACACACACACACACACCATTACACCCTCTCCCATTGACTTAAATCCAGCTTTGGCTGTTTTAGTGGCAGTGGGAAAGCAAAGCAGCTGACAGTGAAACGCATCACGTTTTAAAGTACCATAACAAATATGACACCGACAGAACCCCACACAACAGTGTTTCAACACTAACGACTAAAGGGCACTGCGATGAACTAGAAAAACTTTTTTTTACATTCATGTCGAGTACTGGTACGCCAGCAGGGCTGGGCAGCCGAGGAACATCAGTCACTAAGTATTTAATATTTGATGCCAGATTTAAATGAATCACTTCGTTTTTGGTTTCATGAGATGATGAAGTCGTTCTGGTCAAATCACAGCTGAAGATCCTAAAAAAAAGGTTTCTTAATTGCTGGAAAGTGTCTAAATTCAAAAAAAGAGTAAATTTAGTTCTTCAAATTAAAGCAATAGCATGAATAGTATGAGACAGTATATTATAGATATATCTCGGTACCCAGCCCTGCGAACAACCATTTCAACAGGTGTTGCTCTTAGAGAGATTTAAGTTGCACACGTACAGAAACACTGAAACCTTCTTTCCTCCCTGAAGTCTTAGATGGAACAACGTCTACACGTTTATCAGCCTCTAACAATGAACCGCTGACAGGGCAGGAAGGTGACACACAGTGGCTGGTTCATGGCTTTACAGAAAACACAGAAACACAGTCAGACCCGAAACGACAACACCGGGAGCAAAGTGACCAACCTACTAAAACATCTTAGTGGAGGAAAAACTGGGACGTCTCGGTATCCCAACTAAAGAGAGACCACACCAGTGTCAGTGCTGGGAGGAAACCACCAGCAGCCATACTGGTGTGGCTCCACAGTGGAGAGAAACCACAACACTGTGACCTGGAAACGTGGATGTCTACCAAACAGAACTCAAACATTTCAATCACCTCATCGGGTGTTTTGTTCTTAACTTTGTTAAAGGTTACTATCTGCAAATCCAAATTTAATTCAAAATGGAGCAGGATTTATTCCTCGCTCAGCGCTGCCTCTGGTGGCTGGAAGCCACATTGCAACAACATTAGTTATGAAAACAACCATATTTATATGTTGGTGTACAGATAATCAAAGTTTGAACGGGTGTTTACTGTTTAAAGTTTGCATGCAAAAGAGGTGGAGATGAACTATTGAACAAGTCTTTGATTTCCCTTGTCCGTTACAATCACAAAAGCTTTCCAATAGTAATTTATTATTTGATATTTTGGTGTCTTTTGGTCCATGCAGGCTCGATATAGTTCTGAAAATGACACATTAATAAAAGCGTCGCATGTAGCTTCCTTTAAAGGACGTCACCACCTCTCTGTTGGAGTAAATTGGGCTTTTGAAGCTTTAAATCCACCTGGAAGAATTTACTAGACAACAATCCCTCCGGCTGAAACTCACCATCACTGAGCTGGTTTCCATTCTGACTTTGTACAGAAGCTGCAAAAGCATTTTTAATTTCCAACACCTCAATAAGAAGCTATAAGTACTTTGAAAAAGGTGCATTACTGTATCGCACAGAGGCAAACAACTACTCTGATAGTACGATAGACACTTTTTAAAGTGTAACAGATGTTAAGCTCTGAATCTCAGGTGCCAATCAAAATGTTTTGGAATGAATGAAACTAACGGGTAACCAGACAAACAGTTTAGACAAAGAAGATTTTGAGTGACTTTCTCGTGCTGACATTTTGCACAATCAGCAAAAACGGATTTAATTATTAAAAACTAGTGGATTTCGAGCATCAGACTGACGTTCTTGTCGAAACATAAACCTGCTGTTAATTTGCTTAAATCAGCACCTCACTTATCTCCTCAATGTCTGATTTTTTAGTTTTCAACTAAGAAGACCAAAACCCTTCAGTGTTTGTTTTCATCAGTGTTAGTTCAGTTAGTTCTATTTCCTCTTTTGGGTGGCGAGGAGTCGCCTCCGCCTAAATGTGTAATAATGCCGGCGGTGCGTTAGAGACAGATGCAGTACACGGGTTTAGGGTGGGAGGTCAGACCTTTAGGGAGCTTCACGTGTCAAATACTGACCGCCTGTAGACTCAAGAGACGGCTGGTAAAAGTCTGTAATTTGATCTTTCGTTGACTCATTGCGTCGGTAACAGAAACCCTTTTTTTGAAGCCTGCAGGGTGTGAGTGTTTGACAGGCTGTGGGTGGAGTTTCACCGTGAGGTGACAGCAGCAGCAGCGAGAGGAGGAGGAGGAGGAGGAGGAGGTCACTTCTCCTGCAGCAGAGCCGGGATGTTGATGTTCCAGCCGATGGCCTGCCGGTCGAAGCCGCAGGTGAACAGGTTGCAGGAGGTGTTATCTTCACACCAGGCGGAGCAGCACACCATCCGCCGGTGACCCTGAACCACGACAGACAGCGAGCATTAAACACCGAGGACACGTGGGCAGAATAATCTGGTATTCAGGGGTTTGACCGACCATTAAATGTTGCAAATACAAAATCCTTTTGTATTTGTATGCATAGACCGCTGTATGCATTTGTATGCAAAGACCGCTGGCTGGACTTTAAACTGAGGACGCTTCAGTTGCATCGCCACCCGGAAACCCCAAGTTATGACATTTGAAATGTAGTCTTCTGGCACAAATAATAGAGCACTCTGGACAGAAGCCTGTTTGTGAGTGTATGGAAGCTGTGAGGGGCCAATCGGAGGCCCCTCCTCCTCCTCCTCCGCTGACTCACCTGTCTGTTGCTTCGTGGGAGTCGAGCCAGTCTCACCCCGGCCATGTCGAACAGCCGGACCTGCCGATTGTCGTGAGGGAGAGCGATGATCTTCTGTGTCACCGACACGCTGATCCTGAACACGAGGACACGACGGTCAGATAATCAAAGATAAATGGATCTTTTAACGTGTTACATAGTCCCTGACCACGGAAAGTAGTTTTAGGGATGTGAAAAGACGACACCGTTAAAAACCGTGACACCCCAACTGTAAAATTTGAAACCACAGGCCAAGAAGACATCTTGAAATTGTTTGTTTTGTCCGAAAATCTGTTCAAAACCCAAAGATATTAAATTTACAATATTATAAAACAAAGGCTTCAGCTGATTCAGTTTCAGCATCATATCAAACCTATTTAACGATGTTATATTAAGTGAATGAATGTAAAACAACAGAACCAGACTGTTGTTGTTGTTGTTGACATCACAGACCTGTTGACAGCGGAGTCGGTGCGGATGGTTGCGATGGGCGACCTCATGTTCTTCAGGTCCCACACTTTGACGGTTCGATCGTCGCTCCCAGAAACCACGTTATCTCCCACCGTGAACACAGCGGACGTCACCGCGCTGAGAAGGACAAGAAGGATGAGAAGAAGGATAGTGTGTGTGTGTGTGTGTGTGTGTGTGTGTCAGACTGACTCGGTGTGTCCCTGGAACACGTTGACGGAGTGGATGGACGGGTCTCTGAAGTCCCACAGTCTGAAGGTGGTGTCTCTGGAGGAGGTGACCACCAGACGCTGGGTGGGGTGTGTGCAGCAGTGGGTCAGCTCCTGGTCGTGGCCTGAACACACACACACACACACACACACACACACACACACACACACACACACACACACACAGTAAGTTATTTTCCCCCATATGTACACTGTATTAATTGACCTGTGGTCTCAATGAGGGTGTACAGATCTCCGTAGGTGTATTCTTTGGTGTTATTAATCTCTATAATAAACACACTTTGAGACCAGCATCAGTGTGATGTTCCCTTCATCCTACCGGTGAGTGAGTGGACGAGCTCCGACGTCTCCACGTCGTACAGGTTGGCGGCTCGGTCCCAGGACGCCGTCACCACCTGTTTGCCGCCCACCAGCCAGTCGGCGGCGATGACCACGCCCTGATGGCTGCGGAGAGTGGTGGTGGCCACGCGGACGGAGGGGCAGTCGGTTGGACCCTCGACCTCGCCGTCGGCCTCGTCCTTATCCGAAAAGTCCACGTCGTCTTCGCAGGGCGTCTGCTGCTGACGGAGGGGAGGACGTTTTCAGAAACAAATAGAAGAGTCCGATCAGTAAAGATTCCTCCAGGTCTGTGTCTCCGTCTCCCAAACAAAAGACAAGTTCAGTCACTCAATTGTCCCTCGACATGACAAAAGCTTAAAGTGGATCGTAACACATTGACTACGCAATTAGTCTGCAGTTTAAAACGAGACCAAACTCTTCTACGGATGTCAGTTTGTAAACCACGACAAAGACCAGAATGTGGCCAACAACAGACGAAGTACAGCTCGTTTTTAGCCGATAATGACGTCGTGGACGGACAGACACATGATTATAGATAATAAAATGGGTTCAAAAACACACACACACACACACACACACACACACACACACACACACACACA